CGGATATTCTTAAATTAAAAAGTAATGTGTTACTTTACTAGTTACTTGAAAAAAGTAATCTGATTACGTAACTGGCGTTACTTGTAATGCGTTACCCCCAACACTGTGTGTGAGTGTGCAGTAATAAAGCTGGAGTGTTTCTAATCGTGTGACGACGGCCTCTGCTCTTCTTGTGCTTCCAGATGTGGCTCCGGCCGAGCAGGAGAAGCTCTTCATCCAGAAGCTGCGTCAGTGCTGCGTTCTGTTCGACTTTCTGTCCGATCCGCTCAGCGACCTGAAATGGAAGGAGGTGAAGCGGGCGGCGCTGAGCGAGATGGTGGAGTACATCAACCACAATCGCAGTGTCATCACGGAGCCCATTTACCCGGAGGTGGTGCACATGGTGAGTCAGGCCGGCTCTCAGGGGCCCGCGGCGGCCCTCGCTCTCATCAGAGCCGCTCGTTTGATCTCCGAGCTCAAAGATGCTTCTGTTTCCCACACGGAGTCAGCCGCGGTCTTGGGCTTTACTGACACTCACTTCACATGCTTTTCTATTTACAGCAGTAAAGAAGCATTATCACGCTGGAGATTCAGCTGAAACACAAGCTCTCGCTTCCCCAAAACCATGATGTACAGATCTAAAAAAAGAGACGTTCTGTTTGATAATGTGCTCTTTTGATCAGATCAGCTACACGTGTGACCGAACGATCGGCAGCTTTCACGTCCGTCTCTCACATCATCAAAGCTGCACCAATGCTGATAGAGTTATTGTTGTGCTAATGTGGCCGTCGATTGTTTGCTGTAGATGTGCATGAGTTCATAATAACGAGCCTGAGGCCAATGATTGATTTACAGTCGATTTATACGAACCTTCTGGCCGATTTTCAGCATTTTGTGCTAATCTGTGACTCTCAGTTTGTGTAAAATGTGTCCCTGCAGCACAAAAGCAGTGTTAAGTCGCTGGGGTATATTTGTAGCAATAGACAACAATACATTGTATGGGTCACAATTATACATTTTTCTTGTATGCCAAAAATCATTAGGATATTAAGTAAAGATCATGTTCCATGAAGATATTTAGTAAATTTCCTACCGTAAATATATCAAAACTTAATGGTTGATTAGTAATATGCATTGCTAAGAACTTCATTTGAACAACTTTAAAGATGATTTTCTCAATATTTAGATTTTTTTGCACCCTCAGATTCCAGATTTTCAAATAGTTGTATCTCGACCAAATATTGTCCTATCCTATGTTATGTAAATCAGAACTGCAGTATTGTGATGTTTAATGCTAATGCTTGTGTTTGTGTTGCAGTTCGCTGTGAACCTGTTCAGGGCTCTGCCGCCTTCATCGAACCCGACGGGAGCAGAGTTCGACCCGGAGGAGGATGAACCCACTCTGGAAGCAGCCTGGCCTCATCTGCAGGTGTACTGTACATCATTCACAGCGTATCTGACCGCTTCTGTCCACTACATAACCACTGATGAGACGTTACACTACCAGACAAACGTTTGGAATAATTACGATTTTATAACGGCTTTATCTGTTGTGCTCACAGAGGCTGCATTTATTTGATCAAAAAAGCTGAGAAAATAGTGAAATATTATTAGAATCTAAAACAGCGTTTTTCTATGAGAATATCTGTTAAACTGTAATGTATTTCTGTGATGCGCAGCTGTATTTTCAGCATCATTACTCCAGTCTTCAGTGTCACATGATCTTCAGAAATCATTCTAATATGCTGATTTGCTGCTCGAGAAACATTTCTGATTATTATCAATGTTGAAAACAGTCGTGCTGCACAATATTTTTGTGGAAACCGAGATACACTACGATTCAAAAGTTTGCGGTAAATAAGATTTAAAAAAATTAATTGATACTTTTATTCATCAAGGACGCATTAAACTGATGAAAAGTGACAGTAAAGACATTTATAATGTTACAAAAGATTTCTATTTCAAATAAATACTGTTCTTTTGAACTTTCTGTTCATCTGTGAATCTTGAAAAATAAAATGTATAACAGTTTAAATATTCAGCAGCACAACCGCTCATTAAAAAATCCTAATTATTGCAGACGTTTGACCAGTGGTGTCTTCAGCCACCACAGCTATGAGAAGATCAGTGCCACAGAAACAGAAACCAAATGATGCACAGGATGTTTTCAGCTGAATCTCAGCATCATGTTAAGATGAGTGAGCGTGTAACTGCAGGTCCAGAACTAATACAGCGCTGCACATCTGAATAAATAACGTCACCAGAGTTTGACCTGTCGCTCATCACAGCATCTTTCTGTTTCTCAAAGCTGGTGTACGAGTTCTTCCTGCGGTTTCTAGAGTCGCCCGACTTTCAGCCGAATATTGCCAAGAAATACATTGACCAGAAATTTGTGATGCAGGTATGCAGATATTTTATTTCACTATATATAAGCTGAAGTTTCAGTATTAGTTCAGACGTGTGAAGCGCTGTTTCTGAACTGAATTTCAGCTTCTGGAGTTGTTTGACAGTGAAGATCCACGAGAGAGAGATTTCCTGAAAACCACCCTGCACCGAATATATGGAAAGTTTCTCGGGCTGCGCGCTTACATTAGAAAGCAAATTAATAACATATTTTACAGGTGAGCAGTGCCTTCATACGTTTCTGAGTGTTAATGGTGTGATAATTCAGTCTTAGCTGGAAACAGGTTTCAGTGTTTAGGAATTTAGGAGGTTTATATGTGACCCTGGAGCACAAAACCAGTCATAAGGGTCAATTTTTCGAAATTGAGATTTATGCATCATCTGAAAGCTGAATAAATAAGCTTTCCATTGATGTATGGTTTGTTAGGATAGAACAATATTTGAAAATCTGGAATCTGAGGGTGCAAAAAAATCTAAATATTGAGAAAATCATCTTTAAAGTTGTCCAAATGAAGTTCTTAAATGCATATTACTAATCAAAAATTCAGTTTTAATATATTTACAGTAGGAAATTTACA